CAGGGGTGTCAAACTCATTTCACATTGTGGGCCACATACGGCCTCGGTAGATGTCAAGTGGGCCGGACCATTAAAAATTATACCATACTCTGCTATAAATAACCAAAATAATATGTCTTTGTTTTGGTGTAAAGATGCACAAGAACACGAGGAAAATGTTGAAATTTAATGAACATATGTTTTACAAAACATTTCATGAAGCACCTAAGATTTCCTTAGACAAATGTGCAATTTACTTTTATGATTCACATATATGCATTGCAACTGATCCCACTGACTGTACAAAGGCACAAAACCTTAACAAGTAATTGCTATTGAAAAATATAGTAATGCACTTTTACGATTAAACGAGATTTATAAAGAAAGGAATTTTTAAACCATTTACACGAGCATATAAAATCTAAATGTAATCCCTGCCTACACCTTACAAACTAAGGAGAGTGCGAGAATATGTGTAAAGAATAAAGTACTGTATTCACATGTCCTTGACAGCGTCTGCTGTGTTGGGTCTGTCTCAGTGACAGGCTGAAGCTGCTGTTGTCTTCTTATCTGATCAAAACAATGTTGTCTTTACCTCTGATGAAAACAGTGTGTCTCCCTAGCGGATATTCCATGAATTGCACCTTATTAAAAATATTCATTCCGTGTCTTTTGTGCATTTTTTCACTTTTAAATTATCCTGCGGGCCTGATAAAACCTCCTTGTGGGCCGGTTCCGGCCGTATCTTATACACCCCGATGTATAGTAAGGTGTTTTTAGCCGAAAAAAACAACCATGTATTGTAAGGCGTTTTAACCCGAAAAAAACGACCATGTATAGTAAGGCGTTTTTAGCCGAAAAAAACAAACATGTATATTCATTCATTCATTCATTTTCCGAACCGCTTGATCCTCACTAGGGTCGCGGGGGGTGCTGGAGCCTATCCCAGCCATCTTCGGGAGGCGTTTTAACCCGAAAAAAACGACCACGTATAGTAAGGCGTTATAGGCCGAAAATAACGACCGTGTATAGTAAGGCGTTTTAACCCGAAAAAAACGACCACGTATAGTAAGGCGTTATAGGCCGAAAATAACGACCGTGTATAGTAAGGCGTTTTAACCCGAAAAAAACGACCACGTATAGTAAGGCGTTATAGGCCGAAAATAACGACCGTGTATAGTAAGGCGTTTTAACCCGAAAAAAACGACCACGTATAGTAAGGCGTTATAGGCCGAAAATAACGACCGTGTATAGTAAGGCGTTTTAACCCGAAAAAAACGACCACGTATAGTAAGGCGTTATAGGCCGAAAATAACGACCGTGTATAGTAAGGCGTTTTAACCCGAAAAAAACGACCACGTATAGTAAGGCGTTATAGGCCGAAAATAACGACCGTGTATAGTAAGGCGTTTTAACCCGAAAAAAACGACCACGTATAGTAAGGCGTTATAGGCCGAAAATAACGACCGTGTATAGTAAGGCGTTTTAACCCGAAAAAAACGACCACGTATAGTAAGGCGTTATAGGCCGAAAATAACGACCGCGTATAGTAAGGCGTTTTAACCCGAAAAAAACGACCATGTATAGTAAAGCGTTTTTATCGGAAAAAAAACGACTGTGTATCGTCAGCCGTTTTTAGCCGAAAAAACCGACCATGTATAGTAAGGCGTTTTTAGCCGAAAAAAACGACCATGTATAGTAAAGCGTTTTTATCGGAAAAAAAACGACTGTGTATCGTCAGCCGTTTTTAGCCGAAAAAACCGACCATGTATAGTAAGGCGTTTTTAGCCGAAAAAAACGACCATGTATAGTAAAGCGTTTTTATCGGAAAAAAAACGACTGTGTATCGTCAGCCGTTTTTAGCCGAAAAAACCGACCATGTATAGTAAGGCGTTTTTAGCCGAAAAAAACGACCATGTATAGTAAAGCGTTTTTATCGGAAAAAAAACGACTGTGTATCGTCAGCCGTTTTTAGCCGAAAAAACCGACCATGTATAGTAAGGCGTTTTTAGCCGAAAAAAACGACCATGTATAGTAAAGCGTTTTTATCGGAAAAAAAACGACTGTGTATCGTCAGCCGTTTTTAGCCGAAAAAACCGACCATGTATAGTAAGGCGTTTTTAGCCGAAAAAAACGACCATGTATAGTAAAGCGTTTTTATCGGAAAAAAAACGACTGTGTATCGTCAGCCGTTTTTAGCCGAAAAAATCGACCATGTATAGTAAGGCGTTTTTAGCCCAAAAAAAACGACCATGTATAGAAAGGCGTTTTCATCTCGACCATGTATAGTTAGGCGTTTTAACCCGAAAAAAACGACCACGTATAGTAAGGCGTTATAGGCCGAAAATAACGACCATGTATTAAAGCGTTTTTATCGGAAAAAAAACGACCGTGTTTCGTCAGGCGTTTTTAGCCGAAAAAACCGACCATGTATAGTAAGGTGTTTTTAGCCAAAAAAAACGACCATGTATAGTAAAGCGTTTTCACCTGAAAAAAATCACCATGTATAGAAAGGCGTTTTTAGCTGAAAAAAACGAGCATGTATAGTAAGGCGTTTTAACCCAAAAAAAAACGACCACGTATAGTAAGGCGTTATAGGCCGAAAATAACGACCGTGTATAGTAAGGCGTTTTAACCCGAAAATAACGACCATGTATAGTAAGGCGTTTTTAGCCGAAAAAAACGACCATGTATAGTAAGGCGTTATAGGCCGAAAATAACGACCGTGTATAGTAAGGCGTTTTAACCTCGAAAAAAACAACCATGTATATATATTAAGGCGTTTTAACCCGAAAATAACGACCATGTATAGTAAGGCGTTTTTAGACGAAAAAAACAACCGTGTATAGTCAGGCGTTTTTAGATGAAAAAAAAGACCATGTATAGAAAGGCATTTTAACCCGAAAAAAAAGACCATGTATCGTAAAGCGTTTTTAGCCAAAAAAAACGACCACATATAGTAAGGTGTTTTTAACCGAAAAAAAATGACCCTGTGTATGTAGTAAGGCGTTTTTAGCCGAAAAAAACGACCATGTATTGTAAGGCGTTTTTAGCCCGAAAAAAACGACCATGTATTGTAAGGCGTTTTTAGCCCGAAAAAAACGACCATGTATTGTAAGGCGTTTTTAGCCCGAAAAAAACGACCATGTATTGTAAGGCGTTTTTAGCCCGAAAAAAACGACCATGTATTGTAAGGCGTTTTTAGCCCGAAAAAAACGACCATGTATTGTAAGGAGTTTTTAGCCGAAAAAAAACGATCATGTATTGTAAGGCGTTTAGCCGAAAAAAACGACCATGTATAGTAAGG